GATCAAAGTTGGGAAGTGAAGAATTGATAAAACAAGAAGAAATATTGGAAGTGGTTAGTAAGTTTATGGATCTAGGAAGTGGGAATGGTAAAGAAATCAGAGACAGGGCACTAGAACTCAAGGGCATATGTGACCGAGCAGTTGCAGAAGGTGGATCCTCCAATATGAACCTCAATGCATTTATACAAGACTTTTTATGTTTTCCAAGGTCATTGAGTGGCGGAGGAGATCTTGTTCCTTAGTGTGACAGGTATAAAATAGACAAATAAAAGATGTTGTGTGTGCATTTACTTAGTGAGCTTAAAATAGGCAGATAAACACTATAAAGGTGAAAGTTTGTAAACAAAAGTATTTTGCTCTTGTTTGATTGTTGGTTCATATATATAAGGGTAAAGGATAATTGAAAGTGAATTTCATATGTGCTTCACTCCAACTAAAAGCAAATCCTATCCACCACACTTCATGATTTGGAAGGTAAAGCAGTTGAATCTTTAAAGGCTATAATTCCCCTTTTCAGTCTACAATGTAGGCCTTGCTGTACCTTACTTAGAGCTGGGATTCTTCATCTCATTGGAGAAACCCAATGAAGTCCAAGCCTCAGTTTTAAGCAAGTTGGCCATGATCATAAGCCTACCCTGGCGTTGGATGACCACAACCTCATCTTAACATTTGCTGGTGAGTTTCATATTTGAGCCATGAACAAGGCCTTATTTGCCCCAGTACATTTGCTTCTCCATGGTACTGGTAATCTTTTTCTGTGAGAGCTTGTTTCATGGAAAGTCCAATCAAATCCTTTCAAAATTCATGGAATTTGTGGAGCTAAATTAGCTTGTTGGGGGAATGGCCTTTCTAGAATGAAAATAAGATCATATATATGATAATATTTGTGGACTATCTTAACATTATCTCTATCAATTCCTTTTTTCTGGTGTGTTGTTTGTATCCATGTGCTAGTGGACTCATACTGATTCATCTACTTTGACTTAAAGAAGCCACCAAAGGTTTCAATCAAGAAATAGGAATCAAGAAATACGAAGGCGTATCTTGTGAGACCAAAAAGTGATGGCATAAAGAGATTTTTAAAAAAAAATTACCCCCCAAAAATGTCAACGAGGAGGAAGAAAATTGAAATTGTATTTTTTTTATCCACTATACATTCATATATTGGAAAAGGGTATGAGCTGGAAAAATTAACTGAACATAAAAATACGAAATACAAAAGAATACTCCGAGAAATACATGGTAACACTGTTGCGAACTCGGCAAGTGTACCGGTCGTACAAGTAATAAAGTGATAAGAAAAGTTGTCGATCCCACGAAGACTGATGACCAAGCAATAATTTATCTATTTAACTAAAGTTGGATCGATCGTAAAAGGATTTCTTGAGAATATTGTAATTAAAATAAAAACAGAATTTGTAAACTTATTTTTAGTTTTTAATATTTTAGAAAATAAATTCAGAATTAATAAAAATAAAAATTGGATTTAAGTTTTTAATAAAAAGGCGTTGTTAGGATTCAACTTTACCAATGGTTTCTTAACGAGTTTGCCTATACTTACGATTACATTCAAGATCAAACTATTAACAGCTCTTTCTATGATTGATTAAATTCCAATCCCTTGGTAATCCAAAGCCTAATCCCTTAGTACTTTTTTCATAAAATAAGCATTAACACAAGAACCTCCGATTATAGAATTCATAAGTCTATCCCTAGATCATACAAATTCCAGCAATCAACCAATCGGAATCGATGCACCAACATTTCTATTGTCATGCAAGACTCTAATGCTCATTCAAGACTGGCCAGATCATAAATAAGACTAGGAATAAATTGCAGATTGATTGCATAACTTGAATTAAGAATATAAATCATAATAAAAGCAAACAGTGTTCAAGAACCCATTGGTTCCGTCTCGCCCTAACTACTAAAAAGAATTTAGCTATGCATAATTATAAAAATAGAATTAAAAGATACTGGAAAATAAATAAAGTTCATGATGAAACTTGATTAATGAAGATGATCAATGACACAGATTGCTTCCTTCCATCCCCTCTGCCAATGTTCCTCTTCCGCCACGGCTTTCGTTTCGTCTCTGAATTCTTTCTTTCTCCGCGTTCCAGAATGATTACACGGCCTTGCCCGCGTTGTATTTAAAGAGAAAAATTTTGGGTTTCGAATTCTGGACCAACTCGCTGAGGAGCTCGCTGAAGCGAGCTGCTCATCGAGCTTTTTCTCTTCCTCGCTCACTTGCTCGATGAAGCGAGCAGTGGAGCGAGCTTCATAATGCTGCTCACTTACTTGCTCGCTGGTGCGAGTAGTATAGCGAGCCTAACCAAATAATTAATATTTATTAATTTCCTTATTTTCGCTTCATATTCTTCAGATTGCAACCGGCTTCTCATCGTTATCAGGTTAGTCTTTTGTTATTCTAGTACGAAACAACCTGAAACAACAACAAAGATTAGGTTCTTATCTATTTGTTTGCAATTTACTCTCTTTTAATATTTTATTTATTTAATTCTATATTTTTAATTATTTTAGTTATTATTTGAACTATATTTAATATTAAAAGTATAGCATATTTGACACTTATCAAATCATTCCTAGATTTACTCATTGTTATCCTCAGCAATAAATTGAATTCAAAACATGGAATAATATAAACATGTTTAATATAAAACTAGACAATATATTAATTCAAGAATGATCAGACTTAGGTAGAAAATAATAGGATTTTTAAGAATCAACATTTAACTAAGCAACCTTGAAAGTAAGCAAGTTATAAAATCAAAGCATGAGTTCTATCAATCAAGCATAAAAACTGAATTTTTAACACAACCCTCACCAGATATATCAAATCACTCATCACTCATCTGTCTAAGGGTAAGTGTTTCACTCAAATTTTCACTGTATCAATATTTTCATAAGCTTGATAAGATTCTCACTTTCCACAGTTAATTCACATGCACAAAAGATCAAGAGATCTTTATTCAGGTTGTAATGGGGCTGGGCTAAAGGTAGAATAAATGAGGAAAAACTAGCTAAAATATTGAAATACAGAAAGATCATGGTAAAGTGTAAACACTCAAACAACAATCATTTTTCTCTTTTCTTTCCTCCTTTTTCTTTTTCTTTTCTTTTTCAACACTTTTGTATTTTTCTTTTTCAACCCGTAATACTTTTCTTTTTCAACCCTAATACTTTTCTTTTTCATTTTCATTTTCTTTCAACAATTTTATTTACATAGAAGAAATAAATATTTCTCTTTTTCACCATTTTCAGCTTTTGCTTTTGCTCCATTCACCTAACCTTCTTTTCACCACTTTGAATTACATGATAAAGTCTTCAAGTTTACACCCTACCATAAAATTTCTATAATCCAATCTTATTTGAGGTAGATGTATATGTGGAGTGGCTAATTAAGAAAACAGGTATTAAGAATAAAAAAGGCTTAGGCTCAAGGGGCTAAATAAAGAATATAATAATGGTTAGCTTTTTGGCTAATTAGTTAAAACAATAAAATGCCTCAATCATTTCAGACATGCATGCAAACAACCATTTTAAAGAAAAACAAAGCAAGTTCTAGTAATATTCTCAACAATGAAATGCACACTGAAAAGAATTTTTCTATTTAGGCTCAAACCTCACGACTATATGTGTGCAATTCAGTAAATTATGCTCTTTCCCAATCACTCATACTGTAATTTTATTAGTCTTACTCACTCTTAGACTAACTCAATCAATGCTTATTCATAAAAAAAAAAAATTCTAAGTCATCACATAATAAATTAATTTTTACTGACTAATTCTAAGTTAGCATGATTTCATAATCCAAACAAAGAGAAGAAACACAATAAAATAAAATAAAGAGGAATAAGGAAAAGAATTTTCCCTGTTTTTCTGTAAAATTTTGTGGTTCTACTCATCACAGGGATCATAGTTGTACCAACTGCTACTACTGCTACTATATATATGGTGCGATGCGTCCCTATTCCCAGATTTAGGAATTTGCTGTCCTCAGCAATTAATAAATCAAAAAGAAAGAACTGCACACATCAACTCAACAAAAGTATCATCAGATAAAGTCAGTAGTAGCAATTATGCTCACAACAGAGTGAGAAAAATAAAATATGTACATCACCAGAGTCATCACAAATCAAAATAGATAAACAAAAGAAAAATAAAACTAAAATGGTCCTAAAAATAAAATCTGCTGGCATCATAAAATAAACTAAAATAATTAACTTAAAAACGATAAATTCTTAGGTTGCCTCCTAAGAGCGCTTGTTTAACGTCATTAGCTTGACGTTACATCTACATTAGTCATGGCGGCTTGTAACCGGAATTCAAAGATGATGCCATTCCTTTTATCATAAATATTGTTTTGCCGTAATAGTACTCTCATGCATATGAGCGAGAAGGTTTGGCCTCAAGAACTCTAAACTTAGTCTTGATGTGCTTTTCTTTGCTCTTAGGCTTTGCCATCTTCCCTTCCGGCTTGCAACTCTCATCTGGCTTATGATATTTCTTTTCTTCCTCTTCAGCCTTCTTTTCCTCAATAAAGAAAATTTTCTCTGGCTAAGTTGTAGGTGGTGGAGTTTCTTTTTCAAATATTTTGAGAATAGCCCTTTCTCCTTCCACCCTTAAGATCAATTCACCTTTAGGCACATCAATTAGCGCTCCGGAGTTCGCTAAGAAAGGTTTCCCAAAGATCATGGGAACAGTAGCGTCCTCCTCTATATCCAAGATAACAAAGTCCATCGGGAAGATGAACTTATCCACCTTAACAAGTATGTCCTCTATTACTCCATATGCTTGCTTGGTGGAGCGGTCAGCTAGTTGCAGAATCATATTGATCGGCTTCACCGTTGTGATTCCCAACTTCTTCATCATAGATAATGGCATTACGTTGATGCTGGCACCTAAATCACATAAAACTCTCTCTCTATTGTCATCGAGCCAATCGTGCAAGGGATACTAAAACTCCCTGGATCCTTTCATTTCGGAGGTAAGTTTTTCTGCGTGATTGCACTACACTCCTCTGTCAAGATAGTGGATCCTTCTACTGTGAGCTTCCGCTTCTTGGTTATGATCTCTTTTAGAAACTTAGCATATGATGGCATTTGCTCTAAAGCTTCCGCAAATGGGATATTGATGTGCAGCTTCTTTAAAATCTCTAAGAATTTAGAGATATTTTTCTTCTGCTCGTGCTGCTGCAACCTCTGAGGATAAAGAGCCTTAACATAAGGATTGTCTCCAAGTGATTTCATCCTTTCCTCTAAAGAAAGCTTCTTTGTTACTTTCTTACGTGGGGTATCATTTAATGGTCCTCCAAAAATTATGGCATCTTTATCGACAGGGTCATCAGCTTTCTCTTCAGCAGGATTTTCCTTCTCTGCATCTTTTTCACTACTCGGTGCAGCTATTGGTTTTTCCACAGGTTGAATTACTATTCCACTCCTTGTAGTGATAGAATTACATTGTTCCTTGGGATTGATAACTGTATTACTAGGAAAGGTTCCTGGAGGCCTTTCAGCCATCTGTTTGGCAAGCTGGCCAATCTGATTTTCCAGATTTTTAATATATGCATCTTGATTTTTGAGAGATGCTCTGGTTTCTTCCACAAAACTTGTTTGAGCTTGAGACATCTTTTCGAATGCAATTTCCCAAGCTGCCTTTTGACCACATTGCTCTGGTTGAATTCCCAGATTAGCTTGTTGTGGTCCTCCTTGATTATATGAAAGTGCAGAATGGTTTATCCAGCCAGGATTATAAGTATTGTTGTAAGGATTATTCTCCCTACGTTGGTCATACCAAAGAGAATTCACCTGAGCTGGGCTTATAGTAACCATAGCGTCACAATTTTCAGGTTTGTGTGGTCCACCACAAGTGTCGCAGACTACAGGAAATTGAGTGTTGACTGCAGAAATTTGATTTTGGGTAAAGAGTTTAACAAGTGAATCTAGCCTTTGATCCATCTTGTCTTGTTTGGCTAACATAGCGTTGTACCCTTCTAACTGCATAACTCCTCTCTTAGGTTGCATTGGTGTGACTTCATTATCTTCAGATGCCATCTTTTCAATTAACTCAATAGCTCTAGTTGGAGTAATTTCTCTAATACTACCTCCAGCTGCGGCATTAAGGAGTACTCTATATGTTGACGTAACTCCCTTGTAAAAGATTCGCACCTTCTCGCCATTTGGTAGAACATACTGTGGGCATCTTCTCAAAAATTATTTAAATCTCCCCATCCCACACACAGGGATTCGCCTTCGAGCTGCTTGAAATTGTCAATCTGTTCTTTCAGCTCGGAGAATCGGGAGAGTGGGAAAAACTTCTTTTGAAATTTTTCAACTAATTCTTCCCACGTGGAGATGCTATCAGCAGGTTGCAATTCCAACCAATTAAATGCTCTTCCTTTTAAGGAGAAAGGAAAAAGCATCAGTCGGATTGATTCAGCAGGTACCCCATTAGCTTTAATGAGGTTACACAATTGTAAGAATTTAGAAATATGGCGATTTGGGTCTTCGATCGGGTCTCCTTCAAATAGATTACTTTGAATTAAATTTAGAAAGGAGGCTTTTATTTCGAAGTTGTTTGCTGGAATTTGAGGTCTTCTAATTCTCGCAATCGGATGCGAAAAATTAGTATTTAGGAAGTGGCTCATCAATTCTTCTGGTGGGTTTTGGTTATCCTCAGCCATGACTGTTTCTTCCGCAGAATTTTAGTTCTTTCTAGTCATCCTAACTCTGGTTCGTACTATAGGTCATTGGGGATAACAGTGCCTCGCAGATGCATAAACCAAAAAACTAAGGCTCAGTGGAACCAACTAACGGAAACCACTAACTAACATAAAATTTAAAATTTAAGATTTAAAGTAAACAAACTAAACTAGGAAAACAAAATAAAATAACAAAACTAAATAAATTAAATAACAATAAAATATTAAACTAACAAAGAAATAAAATAAAATGACCATAAAAATAAATAAGCAAAATAAAAATAAGAGAAACAAAAAAAATAAAACAAATAAAACAAATAAACTAAAAACAAAACTAATAAAATAAAATTAAAAAATAAAAATAAAAAAAATGATCCAATCTATAATTTTATAAATAAAATTAATGTTGATTAAATCAATCCCCGACAACGGCGCCAAAAACTTGTTGCGAACTCGACAAGTGCACCGGTCGTACAAGTAATAAAGTGATAAGAAAAGTTGTCGATCCCACGAAGACTGATCACCAAGCAATAATTTATCTATTTAACTAAAGTTGGATCAATCGTAAAAGAATTTCTTGAGAATATTGTAATTAAATTAAAAAAAAATTGTAAACTTATTTTTAGTTTTTAATATTTTAGAAAATAAATTCCGAATTAATAAAACTAAAAATTGGATTTAAGTTTTTAATAAAAAGGTGTAGCTAGGATTCAACTTCCCCAATGGTTTCTTAACGAGTTTGCCTATACTTACGATTACATTCAAGATCAAATTATTAAGAGCTCTTTCTATGATTGATTAAATCTCAATCTCTTGGTAATCCAATCCTTTATTCTAATCCAAAGCTTAATCTCTTAGTACTTTTTAATAAAATAAGCATTAACGCAAGAACCTACGGTTATAGAATTCATAAGTCTATCCCTAGATCATACAAATTTAAGCAATCAACCAATCGGAATCGATACACCAACCTCCATATTGTCATGCACGACTCTAATGCTCATTCAAGACTGGCCAGATCATAAATAAGACTAGGAATAAATTGCAGATTGATTGCATAACTTGAATCAAGAATATAAATCATAATAAAAGCAAATAGTGGTCAAGAACCCATTGGTTCCGTCTCACCCTAACTACTAAAAGGAATTTAGCTATGCATAATTATAAAAACAGAATTAAAAGATACTGGAAAATAAATAAAGTTCATGATGAAACTTGATTAATGAAGACGATCAATGATGTAGATTGCTTCCTTCTATTCCCTCTGCCAATGTTCCTTTTCTGCCACGTCTTTCGTTTCATCTCTGACTTCTTTCTTTCTCCGCGTTCCAGAATGATTCCACGGCTTTGCCCGCGTTGTATTTAAAGAGGAAAATTTTGGGCTTCGAATTCTGGACCAACTCGCTGAAGTGAGCTGCTCAGCGAGCTTTTTCTCTTCCTCGCTCACTTGCTCGCTGAAGCGAGCAGTGGAGCGAGCTTCATAATGCTGCTCACTTACTTGCTCGCTAGTGCGAGCAGTATAGCGAGCCTAACCAAATAATTAATATTTATTAATTTCCTTATTTTCGCTTCATATTCTTCGAATTGCAACCGGCTTCTCATCGTTATCAGGTTTGTCTTTTGTTATTCTAGTACGAAACAACCTGAAACAACAACAAAGATTAGGTTCTTATCTATTTGTTGGCAATTTACTCTCTTTTAATATTTTATTTAATTAATACTATTTTTTAATTATTTTATTTTTTATTTGAACTATATTTAATATTAAAAGTATAGTATATTTGACACTTATCAAAAACAAATATATTCTCTAATATAATCTTAAGCCACAAACTAGAACTTAATTCAATAACCCAAAACTTTTCAAGGACCTGATTTAATAGGTTACAAATAGTGCAAAAATTTGGAGTACATTACATAGGGTGTGCATGATAACCATTCTTTTTCTTGGCACTGTTTCTGAAAAGAAATAATTCTTTTATATTTCTATTCCTTGGAACAGTTTCTGAGAAAAAATGTATTTGATAACATGCTCTATTTTTATTCTGAGAATGAGAATTACGTTTGATAATGCAACAAATAATATAATAAAAAATAATTCTTACTAAGCGTAATTTTTTTTCGGATCATCACTTTCCTTTCCATATGGCGGTGGCGGCAGCGGCGGTGGTGGTAATGGTGGCGATGGTGGTGGAGGCAGTGGTGGTATTTACGGCAGTGGCTGCGGCTGCGGCGATGGTGGTGGTAATGGTGACGGTGGCATAGAGGTGTTGGTGATGACATGGTGGTGGTGGTTGGTGACGGTTGCGTGGTGGCAGCGGCGATGGTAATGGTGATGGCATGGTGGCGACGTGATGGTGGTGACGGCAGTGGCTGCGACAATAATGATGGTCATGGTGGTGGTGGTAGTGGCGGCGACGGTAGTGGCAATGGTGACGGCAGTGGTTGCGGCGATGGTGGTGGTGGTGGTTGGTGACGGTGGTGGAAGTGGTGGCGATGGTGACTGTGGTGGCGGCATGGTGGTGGTGGTGACAGCAATAGCTGCGACGGTGGTGGTTGTGGTGGTAATAGTGGTGATGACGGTGGCATGGTGGAGGTGGTGGCGTTGACATCGTCGTGGTGGCAATGGTGATTGTGGTTGCGACATGGTGGTGGTGGTGACAACAATAGTTGCGATGGTGGTGGTGGCAGTGGTAATGGTAATGGTGGTGATGACGGTGGCATGGTGGAAGTGGTGGTGGTGACAGCAGTAGCTACGATGGTGGTGGTGGCGATGGTGATTGTGATGGCGGCATGGTGTTGTGGTGGTGGTGGTGGTGGTGGTGGTGGTGACAACAGTAGCTGCGATGGTGATGGTGGCAGTGGTAATGGTGGTGATGACGGTGGCATGGTGGAGGTGGTGGCGATGGTGATTGTGGTTGCGGCATGGTAGTCGTGGTGACAGCAGTAGTTGCGATGATGGTGTTGACGGTGGTAATAGTGGTGATGATGGTGGCATGGTGGAGGTGGTGGTTGTGACAGCAGTAGCTGCGATGGTGGTGGTGGCGGTGGTAGTGGTGGCGATGACGGTGACATGTTGGAGGTGGTGGCGATGACATCGTCGTGGTGGTGGTGGTGATGGTGGTGGTGACATCATCGTGGTGGTGGTGGTTGTGACGACGACATTAGTGGTACAACATCGACGACGACGATGGTGGCGGTGGTCGTGTCGGGATGATGGTGGTGGTGATGATGATGATAGTAGTAGAGAGTGATTGAAAGAAATAAGTGTTTCCCATTTTGTGCCTGGGAACAAAAAAATAGAAATTTTTTGATTTTTTTTGTTCCGCAGCACAAAAATTAAACCGGTTCATACTGAGAACAAAAAAATAAACCGATTTTACCTAACGAGTTTTCTATCCATTTCTGTTCCCGGGAACAGAAATTAAAAAAAAAAATTCAAGAAGGTTGTCATGCACATCCATAGTATTAACTTCAAAGGGAGACTTCTGCCAGCTGGAGCACAACAAATGAAAGTTATTACTTTGCTCGCATGCAACTGCTGCCAGTTAGATTAAATCATTAAAATGTTAAATGTCTCTCCTATTCTATTTTTTATACACTTATAAAAGTATATAACCTCATTTTTTTTCTTCTCTTTATATAAGGCTCATTTTTTTTTCTGTTGTCTTTACATAACTCCACATGGGTTCCAAAAGGCTCATTCATGGTTCTCATTTATTTTTTCAGTTTTTATAATTAATTTAGAGCCTATTTGGAACTTCTCTTTTTTAAGTTAGAAACTACTTATAAGCTAAAGATAAAAAAGAAGAAGCTAAAACTTGTTTGGTAATTACATAAAAATTTTAGCTTAAAAATTACTTAAAAGCACATATTTCAAAAAACTCTCTCTCTCTCTCTCTTTATATATATATTATAACTCTTCGTTTAAAAAAATATACAATTCAAGAAAAGCTGATAAGAGCTTAAAAAAAAGCTCATCCCATAACCTCTCACCTTTTACCTTTTTTCTTTATTATAAGTAACTTGAGATGCATTGTTGGTAGCTTTTTTCTTTATTAAAAGCGAAAAAGGTAACAATGTACTGCACCATTTTTTGTTTCCTTTCTTACACTTTCTTGGTAGCTTGCTAATGGATTATAGCATCATTGAATAAGATAGGCACACACTCTTCAATATTTAATCTACATGCCAATTTTATGGAAGCATGTTGTTCGATTATTATTTTAATTTTATATATGGGACTGTTAGATATTTTGTCACTGTTAATGAAGAGAGAAAGCTTTGAAGCTGTAATTGCTACAGATTTTTTTGCTTTTAGTAACTACAAGTTTGAAGCTTTATGAAAATCTT